GCCTCCCTCCACCTCTTGGTCATACTTTTCCTAATGCAGCCCAGGATGCCACTGACCATCTTTGCTGTGCAGGTGAGTTGCTGGCAAGTGGTCAACTTGTTGTCCAGCATGTGACCCTCAGGTCCTTCTTTGTAGAGCTGCTTTCCAGCCCTCTGGCCCCAGCATGTATTGGTGCCTGTGTTTATTCCCCCACAGGTTTGCTGAACTTCATGAGGTTCCTGTCGGCCCATTTCTCCAGCCCATCCAGGTTCCTCTGAGTGGCAGCAAAACCCTCTGGTGCGTCAGCTGCTCTTTCCAATGTTGTATCATCTGCAAAACTGCTGAGGGTGCACTCTACCCTATAATTCAGATCATTAATTAAGATGTTAAACAGTATTGACTCCAATATTGACCCCTGGGGCATGGCATACTGCTAGTGACTGGCCTCCAGCTGGACTTTGTGGCAGTGATCACAACCCTCTGGGCTTGGCTTTTCAGCCAGTTTGCAATCCACCTCACTGTCCACTTACCTAAACCATATTTTGTTAGCTTGTCTATGAGGATGTTACGGGAGATGGTGTCAAAAACCTTACTGAAGTTGAGGCAAACAACATCTACTGCTCTCCCCTCATCCACCAAGCCAGTCATGTCATTGTAGAACGTCATCAGTTTGGTTAAGCATCATTTCCCCTTCATAAATCCATGAGGACTACTCCTAGTCACCTTCTTGTCCTTCATGAGTTTGGCAAGGGTTTTGGGGTTTAGTTCTTCCGCTGCCTCCTCAGGGACTGAGGTGAAGCTGACCAGCCTGTAATTCCCCAGATCCTCCTCCTTCTCTTAAAGACGGGAGTGACATTTGCTCTCTTCCAGTCCTCAGGAATCTCTCTCAGTCACTACAATCTTTCAAAGATAACAGAGGGTGGCCTTGCAATGGCATGGCCCAGCTGCTTCAGCACCACGCATGCATCCTATCGTCTCATGGACCTGTGTATGTCCAGTTTGTTTAAGTGCTTCTTAACCTGATCCTGCTCCACTCAGGGTAAGTCTTCCTTGCTCCAGACTTTTCCTCTGGTCTTGAGGGCCTAGGATTCCTGAAGGCTGGTTTTAGCAGTAAAGATGGAGGCAAAGAAAGCATTGAGCACCTCAGCCTTTTCCATGTCCTCTTTCACCTAAAGTACCTGTAGAAACTTCTTGTTGCCCTTCACATTCCTTACCAGGTTCAATGCCAGGTGGGCTTTGGCTTTCCTAATCTCATCCTTGCATGATTGGACAGTGTCTATATTCCTCCTGAGTCACCTGTCCCTGCTTCCACTTACCGTACGCTTCCTCTTCATATCTGAGTTTAGTCAGGAGCTCCCTGGTGATCCATGCAGGCCTCTTGCTGCCTTTTTTGATTTCTGCGTGTCAGACTGAACCTTTCCTGAGCTTAAAGGAGGTGATCCTTGAAAATCAAACATCTGTCCTTGACTCCTCTCCAGAGCCATAACTCATGAGATTCTTCCAAGCAGATCTCTGAAGAGATTAAAGTCCACTCTGCTAACTTTGGTCCCACTTTTTGCCTTTTTCCTTCCTCTCAAGATCCTGAACTCCACCATCTCACGATCACTGCAGTGAAGGCCTTCACATGCCCACTCTTTTCTTCTGATATTGTAAGTATCATGACAGCCATGCACCTTCTGGTTGGCTCCTCAGTCACCTGTGTCAGGAGGTTGTCAATACACTGAAAGAAAACCTGTTCTGTTCTTGTCACAGTTTAAGGTTGGGCTGGCAATTAAGGCAGATGAAAAATGCTCTCTATTAACCCCTTCCTTCCCCAGAAAGGAAAGGAGAAAAGGGGGAGAGACTTATGGGTTGGAAAATGAAAACTACTTTAATAAAACTAACAATGAAAAACAGTATAATAGTATTAATACTAATAATAGAAATAATAAAAATACACAAAACCAATATTGAGCTTCCCAATGATGATCATGGAATTGCATGCCCTGGTGGCTAACACCATTGATGTGGCAGGGTGAGCACCTGGGTGTCCCAGACTGGACTCAGCAGCTGTCAGAAACCAGATTCAGGAATACACAAATTGAGATCAGAGGCAGGAGAACAAGTAGAATTCTGCAACAATGCTGGCCATGAAAGAAGAAGGACCGACCTCTGTGATCCCTTAGCTTTATACCGAGTATGATGTGAATGGGATGGAATACTTTGCTGGTCAGTTTTTGGTCACCTGTCCCATCCACACTTTCCTGCAGGTGTCTTTTCACTTGTAGACCATACGACAGCCAGCAATGACCTTGGTTCCCACATGAATCAAAATAAACATAGGCCTTTCTGCATACTGGTCCTGCTATTACTTTAGTAACAACTGTAAACATCAAGCATTATCAATTCTAAAAGCAGACACTCTCTGAAAAACATGTAGTCAACCTCTGAAACTGCAGTTACTTAGGAGAAACTTAACTGAAGGAAAATCTACTGAAAGGAGGATTGGTCCTGTTTTAGCCAAACCAGGACAGTTCTGAAGCCTTAGTTTGACCTGCTTATATCCTCCAGTCCAAAGAAAATTCCTTTTAATCTAAAACTTTCAGCTGCTATTCTTGATAAAGATGTCTTCATACTGGCAATTTTGATCAAAAGCAAACCATTTAAAAGCTTTTGCTGTTTTAAGATTGTTGAAATTTTTGAGCTAATTGCCCACACTGTTTTCCATTAAACTCATAGCCCGATAGTTCATTAGCTGAAAAGACAAACTGAAAAACAGGTTGTATCAAATAAAATATTAGGTATTAACCTATTTTTTCTCCTTATCTCAATAAACTTCATGTCTCAAATACTTTCTTCCATATTGCAGGTTGAAGACGCAATTATTTTCAGTTTCATATTTCTGGATCCATTGAGAGCTCACAACATCTGCAGAAGGCTGGAGCTGAAAAAGGGAGCTGCAGGACTGCCCTGGGGCTGGGGGAAAGGAAAAGAGGATTAGTTCTTCCTGATTGTCCATAAATTATGTGGAAAGAATCTGAATGTCATTTCCTACAGCAGGCTGTTCCAAGAGCAACCTTCAGCAGTGCTCCTGCAGTACTTGGTCTTAGAGCTACCTGTAGTCTCAATCATTTCCCACTCATGTAGTCTTGCTTTAAAAGTTATCTGGTGGAAAACTTAGCTTTCCACAGCAAAAAAAAAGAAGTTGAACTTGCGCGGGACAAGCATTTTGCCATGGAAGACCTTCTAGTTAATCAGTCTCATCTACTGTGGTTGATACCTGCAACAATATTTGTGCAGTGTGCACAGCCTTCAGGGTCCAGGGCCCTGGAGTAAAAACGCAAGAGACTTCAGGGTGCAGGTAAGGTAGTGCTAGAAGGTAAGACCATAACAAGGTCACTTGGCATAGGAGATCCTCACTTCAGCTTGTTTGGAAATAATGTGCAGTGTTCTTCTGACTTTTACTGTTCTACTCTGTGCTGTGCCGCTTCTCAGTCACCTTGAAAAATATTTGTATGCTGATGGCATCTTCTGTTAGGTTCTGTCTTTTACAGGGACTCTTTTTTAGCCCGTGATTGTTTTAATACATTTCTCTTCCTCAACTTGTCTTGAAGTGATTTTCTTTTCTCTGTCATTTCTCTACCCCATTTTACCCTGCTTTCCTTTCTCCTTACATCACCTTAAGGTTTATACATCCTTCCCATGAAGGATGAAAGTCTTTGGAAGAAAAAACTGACGTGATGATTGTCACTTCCCTGGCCTTAGCCATTGTTACCATCACCGTGATGCATTTCTAATGTATATGCAGCCAAAATGCTGAAGTTACTGTCTTAGGGTATATGGGCATCTGGAAAGTGTGATAACATTTCTGTCTTGCTGGTTCTGCAACAAAAACAGGAACAGGTTGCCCAGAGAGGTGGTAGATGCCCCATCCCTGGAAACATTCAGGGTCAGGCTGGATGGGGCTTTGAGCAACCCGATGTAGTTGAAGATGTCCCTGCTCATTGCAGGGGGGTTGGACTGGATGACCTTTAAAGGTCCCTTCCAACCCAAACTATTCTGTGATTCTATAAAAAACCAAAACTCTACCTATAGTCAGTGTGGCAGGTCTAAATCTAAGCGAACCTTCATGATATTTTCCATGTTGCCTGGAGTTATAGATGACAGTGGCCTGGATGCAAATTTGCCTCAGTGATTTTGTGGAAGGAAGGAAACATGTAACAGAGGAAGGATCAGTCCAAGCCTGTCCTCTTTCTGGTACTTGTTCCCTAACCACGAAACCACTTGTGTTAGCAACAGGATACAGGACTCCTTTTTTAGTTCCCAGAGTCTCAAGTAAGCTGCAGTGGAAGCAACTGCTTTTCGAGGCAGCTCAGAGGAGTCAAAGAAGATTTTCCTCCTGCAATTGCTAGTTCCCTCTGAGGAGCTGTGGGCATAACCAAGGGTTGTCTGTTTGGCAGCTAGGAGGTGTATTTAGTGTATTGTGTTGTGTGCTTATCCTGAATCATGGATACTTTGTATTGTAAAACTAAATACAAAGCATTTGTTTTAATTACAAAATTTATTCATTAATTCAGTAGTAAAATACCAGCTATTAGTACCCCAAAATAAAACAAGTAACTTGAAAGGCGTATGGTACAAAAATAATCAGTTACAACAAATAACTTACAAATTCAAAAGGCTGAGTTAATAGGTTTCCCAAGTCAGCTAATGTTGCAAAATCACAGATGAGGACTTTCAGCCAAAACTCCTTATGAGGCACAAGACATTTAAGATTGATAACAGCATGATGCATCATTAATTTTGCAGCACAAGAAACTCCTATTGTCAGTGATGTTGACTTTTATAAGATACATCCTGTCTCTATGGAGATTCATTGTGCTTTGAAATACTAAGCAGCTTTATATATATCCCCTCCAACTCTACTCAAACACAGAAATAGTCAGTGCTTCTCCTGGGCAGTTTTGCCCTAAGTGGTGTACTATTATGGATCACTGGCACACTTCTTCTTCCAATTTTCCCTGCTTCACAGATGCAGTATTTTACCCACTGGCTGTCTCAGATGTCGTGACAGGTGTTGCTCTTTCTGAGGTCCCCTGGCAGTCTGTATCCTGTTGGTAGCTGTTTTCCTGTGTGGATGGATGAGAATTCAACTCTGCTCCAGGGTTTGAGTCTCGGTCAGCTGTTTGCTGCTGCCATAGCTGCTGCACAGATAATTCGTATGGTGGTGGCTGTTCCTGCTTGTTAGTTTCACTGATGATCTCTGTGCTGCTTTCGCTATAGGGAGGTGGAGGGATATTGATGACTTCGTGCTGTTTTAGTGTGGAGGCAACTGGCAGTGGGGAGGTCTGTTTTTCAGGATCTGTGCTGTCTTCATAGGAGGGAGGATAGAAGTCAGGCCTGAAAAAAGGCAAACCAAAAGAAACATGTCCTGGTGAAATGTGATTCATCCCAGAGAGCTTGGTTAGATGCTTTGTCTGTTATGTTTCTAAAGTTTAGATGAGGCTTAAACTGTAAATGGAAAACTAAGTAGGTTTAGATCAACAGAATATATTAATATAAAACAGCTGACATAGCTGGAATCATTACCTGTGTCTTTCTGCAAAATGTTTTATTAAAGCACAGTATTCTAAAATGATGAGCCACCCTCAAAAGGGTTCCCACTCATGGTATACAAACACTCATGCTTGTGAGTATTTCAGCAAGTGCCCGAGAAAAGTTTTATTTGGAAGAAGAAAGAGATCGTGTCCGAAGTAGGTTAAGTTAGTGAGTTATTTATTATTACAATAATAATTGTTTTCCACAGTTTTAAAATACATTTTGCACATTTCTGTGTATCTAACCAAAACTTGCTGAATGTTGTTTTTGTAATGCTTTTAGAGCACCCATTGTCAGTGTTTCTGGTGCGGTTTCCACAACAGTCCAGGAAAAGTAATTTGTATCCAGGGACCCTGTTAAAGAATTTTGTCAGGCCTAGCGCCAATCAGTTTAAGAAACTCTCTCTCTCAGAGCATCAGACTGCTTAGAAATAGCGGTGACAATTGCACAAGAAAACTTTAGCAGGGACCGTATTGGGAGCTGAAGCTCCCTGTGTACCTCATTGGTAATACGCAATAGGAGCACATATCCCACAGCAGGACATCTGGAATTGTCTGTTGATATGGAACTAATGATGTTCCTGCAGGAGCTCCATGAAGTCGGCGTAGCTGCACCTGCTCCCTTCATGCATGACTTCGGACCACTCTGTGCAACCTGCCACGTTTCCTGTGGTATACCTTACCTTATGTATTTTTTGCACAAATTGCTGTTTGCACATTGCTGCTTGCTCTAGCGAATCAAATTTAGGCCTACGGTTCTCTCCACAGAAATATAATCAAATGACTACATATTTTTTATTTTGTAAAAAGCTTGTATTGCCTCTTTCTGCTCACAGTATGTTTACAAAACAACATCCTGCCCTCCCAATTCATCATCGGCAGTATGCAACACATACCTGTCTATGGTGCTGACACGTAGGTCTCTACAGCTGGGATTTTGAATGAAGATGCTGCTGAGGCCTCTGTATTTCAAGACTTCATGGAAGGTGCTCCAGAAAATGCCAGTCACAAGAAGAAAGAACCCCAAAGCTAACAGGCAATAAAACACCAGCTCATTATCTCCACATCTGCATGTGGAGGAGCTTGTGGAAACGCAAAGGACTCCCAGACAAATAGTAGAGAAACCAAGTAAGAGCACGAAAAGACGAATGAAGGTAAAAACACCTTTTGGCATCTTTCCCAGCAGACACAGCATTTGGTTCCTGTCTGCTATTTGTTTGCTGGCTGTCTCAGCTGTGCTTCTAACCTTCGTGCATTGATATTTTATATACTTCAGGAGCAACTGGCCTTTGGACAATTAAGAGAAACAGGCAGTTTTAGGATACTCATTAACTCTTTGAGATACCCATAATCAATTTTGAGATTAATATGTAATCTTAAACCTACTTTAAGGAAGGAAACAGAAACTTCCTACACCATTCCTTTGCCACTGTCATCTCTGGAATGCTTACTGAACTGCTGCTTTCATTGCATGTTACAATTTGCAAGGGTTTACACACTTTGCTAGTTTATGAATTAGACTTGTACTTGTTTGTCTTAAAACAAGCAAGCAGACAAACAAACAAACAATAAAAACACTGTTCATAACTCCCTGTTAAAAGTTTAAACAGAAAATATACTTATTTTTTAATCATGCATTTTCATCTTCCATTGGGTTTTGTCTCCTGTTTTTAACACATTATTCAACTTTCTTGATATTTTTAATAGTCTTTTGAAAATGGATAAATTTCTAGCTTGCAATGTGATATAATCAATGAATTAGGATATGAAATGAAAGAAATCAAGATTGCATAATGTCAAAAAAAGGACATAGGCATACAGGAAATCTTCTTTGTCTGCAGGTTTAATGGTACTCTGACTCCTTTACTGTTATTCTCTTCTGTCTTCCAGCATTTTTTATTGACTGATTTTCAAAAGGGTCAGTGCTCAAAGCTATGCAGGAACACCTATACTCAGTTTTCCAAATATATATTTTCCAAATACACTTAGTCATTTGAAATTCAGAGATGCTTGCTACCAACAGATTTTAGGCCTAAATATTGCTACCTCCAATGCAAAAAATAATCTTTAGAATTAGCCCATGGATCTTCTTTTGGAGAGTATACCCACTAGTTTTTGACAAGGTGTAGCAGATTTCATAATCAGAACTTATTTGGAACACTGCTAATTACATTTTGAAATTAAGGTAATCAAGATAATTAAGCAGACCTTGCCTAGGTTTGCTGTAAAATCACCATTGCACACACTGAGCAAATCAGAACAAGGGACCATTCAAAAAACAGGCTCAGGCTCAAATCTTTATTGCAATAATGAGTTTACTGCAGGTATTGTTGGGTGATTCAATAGTGCAGGTTATGTGTGGTTAACAATAAATGATTATGAGAGTTTTCTGCCATAGTCCGTAAGAAGGTTTCTTCCTACCTACTGTGGACTCTTTATTTCACTAGGGCAGTCTAGGGGAGCTGTAGGATTTCTGTAATCAATGCAATAAAACTTTCTAATATACTGCTTGGGTCTAGATGCTGTAAGTCATTTATGCAAACCCTGAAAGAGGGAGTCACGTTTGATGGGACGAGGAAGGCTCCAGCTCTCTCTACTGTAGACCTTCCCTGGAGCTCTGGAAGTGAAAGCTCTTCACAGGCACTTTCAATAGGGTGCTTGAGCCTCATGTCTTCAACTTAAAGGAGACAGTTTTGACTGGCCAGGAGTCCTCAAAGTGCTGGGTCTCCTGTCTCACCCTGTCCGGGGCTGTACCTGTGTGAGCTGCACTACAACACACAATCTCACATTATATTTCACAGAAGCTTTGCACTATCTCATGCGACATTTCATGTCTGCTTAATGAGCACTGTATTTTTCTGCCCTGTGTTTATCCAAATTTGTCAGATGTTAATTTACAACAAATCAGAGTATTTATAAGGAAACAGCAGCTGGTTCAAAGTTGCCACACATTCTGATTAAGTACCATTATTTCAAGCTCCCATCGCTATTACTGCTTCTTTAGTTCTCAAAGGATCTGTGAAGCCATTCTCACTTTTATTTTCAGGATCTATTAGAAAGCCAACATCAAGAACACATCTCATGAAACAATACAATCATTAGACAGAATTTTCCTAAGGTAGGTCACTTTTATGTCATAGCAAAAGTGAAAACACAGCAAGACCAGCTTCTGCCCTTCCTAATGAAGGCATTCACGTAAGGACTGATTTGGGGCAGTCTTCATTTCAGAGCAAAACTCTGCCAAAATTGAAATAGTCCTGTTCTCTCAGCCCTCGGCTACAGCCACATACACAGCACCGAGGAAAAGTAGCACCACTTCATGTGCAGGTAAGAGTATGAGTGTGTGTCAGCTAATCTGTGGCTGGTTATGATAAACCAGCTGATGTAAATAGAGTGCTTCCCACTCTGCAACTTCCCAACTCTGCCTTCTTGCAGCTGCTTCAGGTCATATTTCCTGTAAGCTCCCTTTTCCTTTACCAAAAGTCACCTATTTATTTATTCTTATCTGGGTATTTGAAACTCACATTCACATGTAGTTTCCTGTACTATATTTACCCTGATCAATTATGACAACAAGGAAATCATCTTACCAGTAACTTATTAGTCTGTCAATATTCTTGTGATTCTCTGGCATCATGATATCACAGACTGGTATCTCAGCATCATTATACACACTAGCAATTCACAGACAATTTAAATGCACCAAATCTCGAGATGCCTTGGATGCACAGAACTGTCATACGCATTCCACTTACATGTCTTGAACCCTTGATCACAGCCTGTACAATGGTAAATCTCTCCTCCTTATATTTTCGTATGATGTAGCTGGGGAAGCAGGTAATAATTGTATGCTTATCTCTATGGTTTGGGCTACCTCCTCACAGGAAACCTGCTAATAGTTTTTGGAAATACATTGTCTTTCCTGCTCATGGATGAATAAAAATTGCAAATGTTCCCCGTGGGAGTTCATGGCTTGTTCAGTATGACTGCTATGGCTTTCCAGTCGTGCAACTGGAATTTCAGCTGGGGCGGTGGCTAGCAAATTTTCGATAGCAGTAGCAACTTGATTCACAGTGCTGCATGCCCCTCACCTGCATGTCCCTGAAAGGTCAAAGCAAGCTCCCGTTTCCTCTCTGGGAATGTGCTTTTTCTCATCCAGCTATCACAGATCCAGGACTATGCAATAGCGCTGGTCAGGACCTCTGCTCCTGCTTCAATACTGCTGGCCTATTCAACAGGGGTTTCACCTGTGCTTAAAAATCTGCATCAGCCATGCAAAGCACTGTGCTGACTTCCCATCACACAGAGCTGCAGCTAAAAAAACCTGTCTTGACCCCACCTGGAGTATTGCATCCCGCTCTGGAGCCCTCAGCACAGGAGAGACATGGACCTGTTGGAGAAGGTCCAGAGGAGGGCAATGAAAATGATCAGAGGGCTGGAGCACCTCTCCTGTGAAGACAGGCTGAGAGAGTTGGGATTGTTCAGCCTGGAGAAGAGGAGGCTTTGAGGTGACCTCATTGTGGCCTTCCAATACCTGAAGGGGGCCTATATGAGAGATAGGGACAGACTTTTTAGCAGGGTATGCTGTGACAGGACAAGGGGTAATGGTTTTAAACTAAAGGAGGGTAGATTTAGGCTAGACATAAGGAAAAAAATTTTTTACAATGAGGGTGGTGAAGCACTGGAACAGGTTGCCCAGAGAGGTGGTGGAAGCCCCATCCCTGGAGGCATTCAAGGCCAGGCTGGATGGGGCTCTGAGCAACCTTATCTAGTTGGAGATGTCCCTGCTCACCGCAGGGGGGTTTGGACTAGATGAACTCTAAAGGTCCCTTCCAGCCCAAATGATTCTATGATTCTATGATTCTACTTGTCCTGCTATGACACAGTATTTACTGAAATAACTGTGCTGATGAAAACACCTTTTACTTCCTGTTTTCTGTTTATCTATCTGTACACATTGATCTGCGTGTTTTAATTTTATAGCTGGAACATGACAGCATCATATCTGTGGTGATGCAGTCTAAGTCAATTTCTATAGGAAAAACTGGACAGGAAATTATGTCCTGGCTATGTGAAAAAAATTAAGAATTCAGATATATTCCCTTTCTATACTAGGAAAAGAGACAAAAAGAGATATTCTGAAAAATCTTTAATGAAGAAGTTTCAAAAATTAAATAATCTTAATAACTCTCAGAAGAATCAAAAGCTGTCCAGGCTACACCTCACAATGGGGGAAGAACTGGTCTGCATGATAAACTTCAGCCTTGGAAAAAGAATTCATTTTCTATCCCAGCCAGTTCCCTAGAAACTCCAAAAAACTCAGGAGAAGCAAGCGAGACCTGTCAGTGGCAGCCGCTGGCTCCGCACCATCGCAAGGTCAGAACCCGCATTCCGTGGGAGGGAGCAGACTTGCAGTGAGACTGCAAGGTGCAGTGAATGGACGTCTGCTCAACATTGCATGCAAACTGTGGATGGAGGGATGACCGGGAAATGAGGGGTTAGTCATGGCTGGTGCTGTGGGAGAAGAAGAAATATAAAAGCTCTTTTTATGGGGAAGCCGTATATCTGCCAGTTGTTTCACATTTGCAGATCTTCCTATTTCTGCAAACTGCAGAATTTTGGTGCTTTCTGCAAGAGGTCAGTTAAGTCTATGACAACATGCTATGGGTATGTTATCCTCGAAAATAGCAGTTGATTTCAAATTACTGCATCTCACATAGTAGGTATATAAAGAAAAAGGAAGAGAAGATGAGAAGCTGAAATAGCCCCATAATGCAGTTTGATTTTCAGAGGTCCATTATTTTTCGTATTTTCTGTCACTTAAGATTTTCTGTAAAGCTGTTCTTGGCCTTTTTCAACTTTCCTAATATTTTGCAGCTAGACTCTTTATTGGCAATGAATGTCTTGGACTGCATCAGACTGGATGAGCAGATTTCCTATTTCTCTTACAAAACAGGAAGAAAGTTGCCTTTAATGAGAATCAGGTGGGAAAAGGGAATAGCTAACACGGTGTAAAGGTTGCCGAGTAGAACTGGCTGCAGACCAAGGTCAAAAGGTAGCAGTCCAGACGCACAAAAAGCACTTCTTAGGAAGTCTGATTGAAGATGAACTTAATGGATGTTCCGCTGGACGATTTGATAACCGCAATTGTTTTGCAATTTGCATTTCACTTGG